ATTTAAGGAATCATCAGTCTCAAATGCTCTTGTTTCTTTGAACTTTGGTAGCTATACTGGGGCCGGGGCTAATGAATGTGCCTTGTCAGTTGTTCCAGTAAAAGTGAAGTTGGAAAATGGGACGAAGGTTGTGGAGACGTACGCCTTTCTTGATCCCGGCAGCTCTGCAAAGTTTTGCACTGAGGCGTTGATGATGCAGTTAAATGCATCTGGAAAAAAAGTGGAAATCATGTTAAAGACTATGGGTCAGGAAAGGCCAGTGAGTAGCTATAAACTTTTTGGTATGGAAGTAGCTGCTTTGAAACAGAATGAGTATTTGAGGTTGCCTGATGTGTACACTCAAAAGTTTATTCCTGTCACTAAAGAAAATATCCCTAAAGAAGAAAACTTAAGAAAATGGCCTTACTTAAAGGAGGTTGAGTTGACACCGATAAATGCTGGCATTGGGCTGCTTATTGGTGTGAATTCTCCCAAAGCGCTGGAACCTTGGAGAATCATTAACAGTGAGGGTAATGGACCCTATGCTGTGCTAACTCGTCTCGGTTGGGTTGTCAATGGGCCACTCAGTCAGGGTAGTGAAAGGGATGAGCATGATGCTAGTTTTGTCCAGGTAAACCGCATTTCTATAAGTAGTTTAGAGGAAATGCTGGTTAAGCAGTATAATCAAGATTTTGTGGAGAACCAGTGTAATGAGCGTGCAGAAATGTCTGTAGAAGATAAACAGTTCATGAACATAATGTCAGAGTCAGCTGTACTTAAGGATGGCCATTATTACTTGAAATTACCCTTTCGTAAACCTGAAGTAAGAATGCCAAACAACAAGCAGGTGGCTCAGCAGAGGGCGCAATATCTGCTAAAACGGTTTCAGAAGGATCAGTTATTCTTTGAAGAATACAAAGAATTCATGCACAATGTTAGTATGGAGGGACATTCAGAAATCATACCACAAGAACAGTTGAAGAATGAGGAAGGAAAGGTGTGGTATATACCTCATCATGGGGTCTACCACCCCCGCAAGAAAACACTGCGTGTTGTGTATGATTGTGCTTCAACATTTTCTGGAACATCACTGAACAAAGAGCTATTACAAGGCCCAGATCTGACTAGCACTTTATTAGGTGTGCTGATTCGCTTTCGGCAGGGTCCAATAGCACTTATGACAGACATTAAAGGGATGTTTCATCAGGTCAGAGTAGCTGAGGAACACGTAAACTTTTTACGTTTTCTCTGGTGGCCCGATGGTGACATCACAAAACAGCTGGTGGAACATAGAATGCTGGTCCACATTTTTGGTGCAGTATCCTCCCCCAGCTGTGCCACCTATGCACTACTAAAGACTGCTGATGACAACCAACATCTGTAGGGGAGAGTGAGGTAAGATGAGCCAGTGGGTAAGTTGAACCACCCTTGTATCTAGGTAACTGTGTACATGTTTTGTCATGTGACCATAAATCCAGGAAGCACTCATCATTTCCATCCTGCTATATTAAAGAGGAGCACATTGGAGAAGGGGTAAGTCTGTATTACACAAAAAAATGTTTTTTGCTTGTCAAAGTAAAATTTCTGCATATCAGGTAAATTGACTGTAATATTAAAACAAACGTATCTGTGTCTAAGATGATATATTATACATGTTGGTGGGTTTCTAAAATATAATATCATCTGAAGAAGTTTTCTAAAGATTAGCCTAAATTGCTAAGCTAGCCCGTTTTTTTCAAAATGGTGGCTATGGGGCAAAGTGAGCCAAAGGCTATGGGGTAAATTGATCCAATGGTTCAACCTACCCCACCATAAGGCACTGAAATTTATTTAAGGCTCTGACTTATTAAATAGTATTTTAGTTCAGTATACTGAACCCTTTTGTTGTATTTGTCATATGTTAACTATTATAGAAAAGATATCATGCCAAGGACCTACAGACGGAAGACCAGCTGGGGCTCAACACCCCTGGAGGAGATTGAAAGGGCAGCGAGTGAAGTCAAGGGAGGAAAGTCCATAAGATCAGTGGCTAAAGAAAGACAAATTGACAGGTCAACACTCAGGAGATATATTAAAAAGAGGGACACATAGGAGGTCAAATCAGTTGGCTATAGTGGAACAGCTTCAGCAAAGAGAGTCTTCTCTGAGGAGGTGGAGAAGGAGCTAGCAGAGCATATCAAGAAGCTTGCAGAGCAGTTCCAGATTTTTACCAGACCCTGTACATGCATGTGGTTCACGAAGTGACCCCAACCATGCTTGATATGTGTCTCCCACTGATATTCTACCCTTACCCAAAAGTCAGCAGCCCAGGAAACAAACAAATCGAAAGCGTGTGAAGACACGAATCCTGACTGATACACCTGAAAAGCAGGCAATTGAGAGAGAGAGCCCATGAAGAAAGGACAAATAAACTGAAAGGCAAAAAAGAAATAATCCACAAAAAGCAAGGAATGTGGAAGAGGAAACAAACCCAGACAAAAATTGCAGTGGAAAGCAGCTCTGAGGAGAGTGATGTTCCCATCCCATTTGAAGACACTTCTGAGTACACTTCTGACACGCTGAGTTCCAGCGATGAAAGAAGTGAACCAGATGTCTCAGACCTGGTAGTTGGTGACTTTGTCATCGTAAGATTTGCATCCAAATCCAGGAGCCACCATTACATTGGCCTGGTTGACAGCTTTGCAGACAACGAAGTGAGTGCCAGATTTCTCAGAAGAATCCGAGGGATCACTAGCAGTAAGAAACCCACGTTTGTGTTCAAGGAAAATGATGAGGCATCTTTCCCACGCAAGGATGTGCTGAAGAAGCTACCTCAACCTCAACAGGCTGGAGGAACTGCAAGGAGGGAGCAACAGTTCATATTCCCCTGCAACCTTGATCATTGGAATATTGAATAGTTCTTTTGAATAAATGGTTTTGAACTGGTGGTTTGTTTAGAAACCACCAGTTTCCAGGTTTGTTCTCACAGGTTTACAACTGTTAAAATGGTTTTTTTCACAATATGATCAGTTTTACATTTTAAAAACTACATGGTCAGTTTGCCCCAAGATGGCTCAGTTTACCCACTGACTAGGTTCAATTTACCCCTAATCTGGGGCAAGTTGAGCCAAAGGAGCATTTTTTTTTAATAGGTCATTATTTTGGGCAGCGTCATCAGACATAGATTCTGATCATTACATTTGAAAGGAGACATCCTGAAATAAAGGAATATGTTATCATTCTATTTCTGTGTCATTTTTTCTCACATCCAGGGCAACATGAGTAAAAAGTGGCTCATCTTACCTCACTCTCCCCTACCCAGAGGAGGTTATACATACAATCAGGCATAGTTTTTATGTAGATGACTGTCTTAAATCTGCTCAGTCTGTTGAGCAGGCCATCTCACTTTATCAGCAGCTTACTGAGGTGTGTGCCAAGGGGGGATTTAAGCTCAATAAGTGGGTATGTAGTGATCGCTCTGTCCTCTGTCAGATCCCGGAAGAAAATAGAGCCACAGGTGTAAAGATGCTGGACCTTAGTCGGGATCAGCTACCCACAGAAAGAGCTCTCGGTGTGCAATGGGATATTGAACGTGATGTTTTCACATTCAGTATTGTGAACAAGAACAAACCACTTACAAGACGTGGTATTCTGTCCAATGTCAGCTCCATTTATGACCCTTTGGGTTTCTTAGCTCCAGTCATTCTGCCTGCAAAACAAATTCTGCAACATCTATGTAAACTGAGGTTGGCTGGGATGAGACAATACCAGCAGAAATGGCACAAACCTGGCAAAAATGGGTTGAGGATTTAGTTGTTCTTAACAAGTTTAGTATTGGTCGATGTGTCACACCCAAAGGATTTGGGGAGATAGAAAGTGCACAGCTGCATCACTTTTGCGATGCCAGTGAAACTGGATATGGTGCCGTATCATATCTTAGGCTATCTAATGGCAAGCAGGAAGTGTGTGTTTCCTTTATTATTGGTAAAGCAAGGGTGGCGCCGTTAAAACAAGTCACCATCCCACGTCTTGAGCTGGCTGCTGCAGTTTTAGCTGTGCGCTTAGACAAAATGCTATCAGTTGAACTTAATCTTAATCTGAGTGAGTCAGTCTTTTGGTCTGACAGCACAACTGTGCTACAGTACATTGCAAACACAACCATACGGTTCAAAACGTATGTAGCTAATAGAGTTTCCACCATTCATGCTTTGACAAAAGTTGAGCAGTGGAGGTACATCAGTTCAAAGCTGAATCCAGCCGATGCAGCCACAAGAGGAATGACAGTTGGCTGTTTCCTGAAATCGTCCACCTGGATCAGTGGTCCAGAATTTCTCAGTAAACCTGTTGGTCACTGGCCTGTAGGCATGAATTGTGTATCTGTCCATTTGGAAGCTGACCCAGAAATAAAAGGGGAGGGCCTGATGTGTGCAGCTGTGCTGAAAGAAGATGTGTGTCCCACTACTAAGCTGTTGTTGTACTTCTCCAGCTGGACACAATTAAAAAGGTGTGTGGCATGGATCCTGAAAGTAAAAGAAAGACTTAAACTGCAAACAAGGAAAAGACAGAAGTTGCTGGGCACGCACTGTGGAAGTCAAATATGTGTTAAGCAAGAGGATAAATGGAACACTCTGCTCAAAACTGAGGATTTGTCCAAGGCTGAGGAAGCTATAGTGAGCTTTGTGCAGAGAAAACATTTTGCTGATGAAATGACTGCCCTAAACTCTGGCACTGTAAGTAAGTCAAGTCATCTGTATAAGCTTGATCCTGTAGTTGCTAATGGTGTCTTGAGAGTGGGTGGAAGACTGAGCAAAGCGGATTTACCTGAGGAAACAAGACATCCTGCAATTTTGCCAAAAGAAAACAATGTTTCAAAGCTTATTCTTCAGCATATTCACGAAAAGATTGGTCACAGAGGAAGAAATCACATGCTTTCAACCCTTCGCCGTCAATACTGGATCCCTCATGCTAATTCAGCAGCTAGAAAAATAATCAAAGATTGTACAGTGTGTCAAAGACGACGGCAAAAGCCAGGTGAGCAGAAAATGTCTGATCTTCCTATTGACAGAATCTCAGCTGATCTTCCACCATTTACTTATGTTGGTGTTGATTATTTTGGACCAATAGAAGTAAAGAGAGGCAGGAGTCTTGTTAAGAGATATGGAGTTCTCTTCACATGCCTAACCTGTCGTGCAGTCCACCTTGAGGTGGCACATTCTCTTGATACAGGCTCCTGCATTAATGCCATCAGGAGATTCATCTGCCGCAGAGGACAGGTCAAAGAAATCCGGTCAGACAATGGAACCAACTTTGTCAGCTCAAATCGTGAGTTAAAACAAGCTATGTTAGAGCTAAACCAAAGTAAAATCCAAAAAGGTTTAGCACAGGATGGCATAAAGTGGACCTTTAACCCGCCCTATGGGGCCCATCATGGTGGAGTATGGGAGCGCTTGGTGCAAGAAATAAAGAGAATATTATACTCTATCACAAACCAGCAAGTACTAGATGATGAAACCTTGCATACAGTTTTTTGTGAAGTGGAGGCTATACTGAATGACCGCCCAATCACACCTTCTTCTGACGATCCCAATGATGTAGAAGCTCTTACTCCAAATCACTTGCTCCAGTTAAAAGGCAAACCTGTGCTGCCACCAGGTTTATTTAAAAAAGAGGATCTGTATCTGCGAAGACGATGGAAACAAGCCCAGTATATTGCGGATCTATTCTGGAAAAGGTGGGTGAAAGAATACCTTCCTATGTTGCAGGAACGACAGAAATGGAACAAGATTCATAGGAACTTTTGCATTGGTGATGTTGTGCTTGTTGTTGATGGAGCTGCACCAAGAAATTCTTGGCCCATTGGCCGCATCACTGAAACCATGGCCGATGCACACGGAGTAGTTCGCCGTGTTAGAGTTAAGACACGAACAAATGAGCTGGAGAGGCCAATCAACAAAATGTCTCCTGGTGGAGGCCATCTAGAGGAAACAATGAATGTTTGCCTCCAACTGAGCCAAGTTCTGGAACCTCTGACTCTACATTTACACTGACACTCACTTTGCCCTACACTCCATTATACAACATACACCTTTTTTGAATACACACAAAGCAAACACATGAACATCAGAGACTTGAAATCATAGAACATTGACCTTTCCTTTTGTTTGTTTTTTAAGAAGACCTATACGGATGGACTGCTGAAGAAAATTGTTGGTATTGCATTTGGTGATGGCCACTTAGAAAGAATTAATTCATGTTACACAGGAATTAGGGGCCGGAATGTTGTGGCCATTTTTGTTGAATGCTTTTGGAAAGTGATTGGTTTATTAGTTTATGGACCCTCCCATTAATTAAGAGATTAAGAGCACCCGGGATGGGTGTGGTAAAGAGGTTTTTGTTTTGTTTGCCAAATGTCAGATGGGAGGACGGGAGGGTTAAAAAATGATTTTTTGACCACTTTTGAATTGTTAAAGAAAATTAAGTTAACCTTCGTTTAAGTTTTAAGAAGTTAGTTGGCTGATTTCTGTTTGTATTTTTTTTTTCCTGAAATAAACGGCATATGATTTTTAAACAATGAGTCAGAAGTGCGTTCCAAAACAAACCTCCCGTTGCCACCCACGGCCTTTCCTTGGATTTTTTTTGTTTGGAAAGTAAAAGGCCACGACAATCTGGTTAGATACCATATTTCTAAGATTTTCAGGGCCGAGTACAATAACCTCAGTTTTATCTGAATTAAGAAGCAGAAAGTTAGCGGCCATCCAGGTCTTTATGTCTTTAAGACATTCCTGCAGTTTAACTAATTGGTATGTGTTATCTGGCTTCATAGATAGACAGAGCTGGGTGTCATCTGCATACCAGTGAAAATGTATAGAATAAAATAATCCTTTAATTGTCCCACAAGGGGAAATTTGATATGCTATGTCTTCTAATGAAACTGCCTAAGGGAAGCATGTATAATGTAAACAGAATTGGTCCTAGCACTGAACTCTGTGGAACACCATAATTAACCTCAGTGTGTGAAGAGGACTCTCCATTTACATGTACAAATTGGAGTCTATTAGATAGATATGATACAAACCACTGCAGCACAGTACCTGTAATACCTACAGCATGTTCTAATCGCTCTGATAGGATATTATGGTCAACATTATCGAATGCTACACTGAGGTCTAGCAGGACAAGCACAGAGATGAGTCCACTGTCAGAGGCTATAAGAAGATCATTTGTAACCTTCACTAAAGCTGTTTCTGTGCTGTGCTGAGCTCTGAAACCTGACTGAAACTCTTCAAATAAACCATTCCTCACCAGATGATCTGTTAGCTGTTTGACAACTACTCTTTCAAGGATTTTTGATATGAAAGGAAGGTTGGAGATTGACCTATAATTAGCTAAGATTGCTGAGTCTAGAGATGGCTTTTTGAGTAAAGGTTTAACTACAGCCAGCTTGAAGGCCTGTGGTACATAGCTGATTATTAGAGATAGGTTGATCATATTTAAGATCGAATAATTAATTTACCAGCTGGAGAACCAAAGGTCCAACTGTAGGTAACACCTCCTATAAGAGTCGAGGAGGGACAGCATCATTTGGAGACCCTGCAGGCTTAAAACGATCAACAGTTTCCTTTAACCGTTTAAAGCCGGTCGGAGCGGGCACGCTCCGTTTTGCATAACTATTTTTAAATCTCGGTAGCACTGGAACCATGAAAGCTAGCGCAATAATTTTTTTTGCATATGAAACCGGAGGAGTTGTACTTACATCTTATGCCATCAGCTTGTCCTCGGTCACAGTTTCCTTCCACATAAAGCTTTGCAAAAATTGCATAAAAAGCACTTGCAGCAACAAAAACATAATATTCCAGAAACAGGCTTTGCCGATCCGATCAGCTTTTCGTAACACTTCCTACGTCCATCAGCGCGAACTATCACATATGCGCCATGACCTGCCTAAAACCGGAAGTGACGTCATTTTCACAGAAATTTAGTTCTTTACCATCAGGGCCTTGTAAGCCTATACTGGTGTTTTTAAAAGTTATGTTTGACTTTATGACTTTCTGTGTCGTTTCTGGGATGCTTAGGATACATATTGCACTGCTGGAAATAGTTTATTTTGATTCATATGCTATTTTTTTTGCAAATTTGCATTATAATACTTATTTTCGGTTTTTTTGGGGTTTTTTTTGCAGTATATAAAAATTGGTGAATATCAAAAATAAAACTATGAAGACACTCATAGTCTTCATAGACAACTCTGTCGTTCAGCCACTAATTGGTGCTGCTCGGGTCAAAGTCGGGGCTGTATCAAGACACGAGGACTAAACCCCAATTCAACCAGACCCAGAACTGATCTGGAATTAAAACTGGACTGCAACAGTTTAAAATCAGGACTACTTAGGATTTAACCAAGACAGAACCAGAATCAGAACTAGATGATAGTAGCACTAAAAATCATCATAGACCTGCACTGCACCTTTTTTTTAATTCTACCAAAGTCCACTATTTAGATTGAGAAAAGTTTATATAATTATTTAGCCTTGTTGTGCAAACAAGCCTGCAGAACGTAATAAATATAGAATTTGAAAAATAACAAACCTAAAAAGAAACACTAGGTATGAGATACATGAGTACCTATGATACGGTGATACTTTTGGTAAACAACCATGTGTGTCTCACCTGCTCTTGTTCATCTCTCTCCCTCTCTGTTTCTCTCTCTCTCTCGCTGTTCCTCTCTCTCCCTCTTTGTTCTGACAATCAAGCCAAACACCAACATCATCAAATATACAGTTGAAACCAGATATTTACATACTCTTCAGATAGGAGAGGAGAGATGCATCAGTACAAACTGTTTCATCCTTTAAACCTAAACTCTGTGAACAGTTGACTGTTCGATGTGCTAAAGAACAGAAAAAACATTATTTCCCATCAGACCATGAGCAACATTCAGGCATGTAACACAGTAACACTTTTATTTTTTACATATTCAGCAGAAAGAGTTAGCTGTGTGCACTATAAAAACTTAAGAAGCGTAATTCATTTCTGCTTGGTTTCACATAAACTGTATTATTAAGGAAAAATAAGTGGGGCTCACCTCAAAACAATCAGTATAAGATCTGACTGGAGAGTTTTAGGACAGAGCCAAACTTTTGGAACTGAAATAACAACTTTGAGCGGATCAGAGACTTGTTTTGATAACATCTCCCCCTAAAACAATAAACTGTCCTCACTATCACAACCACAGCAGGAACAAGACAGGATTCTGTGGTAGATTTTGTGCAATTTGTAGTAAATTGTGCGCCACAGACGTTGTAATTTACATTTGTGTCACTCATTTAAATCTTCTTCTCCTGAAAGTGAAACTCTTACAAACACATATGTCATAACTTCAGTCACAAACTGACACTGAGTCTCTTCAGTAAATCCAGCAGCTTTTTAACATCAAAAGATGTCTTTGAGCTGCTGCAGATGTTAGTAAATCTGACCCTAAAGGTTCCTTCTTCTTTAAAATTCAAACTTTGTAATGAAAGGATATTTTTAACAGGCTGTTCTCGTTTATATGACCTCCATAAAACAACAGGGTTAAAACACATTGTGACGAAGTAAGAGTTTGTTTTGTAGTCCATCTTCTGCACAATGTAGTTTCAACGGGCGGACATCCGGTGTCACATCGCTCCTCTCTTTCCCTGAGTCCTTAGCAAATCTCCTTCGAGGCCAAGGAAAAGAATTTAAGAAAAGGAGATAGGCGCTACTTTTGAAATAACACCCCACGTGGTTACCTTGTGACGCTGAGTCACGTGACCTCGCAGCAACAAATCACAGCAGAGCCGGAAAAGGGGACGGAGCAAAGTGTCTGTGCAGGAGAGGAGTCGAGCAGAGAGAGCTGCTTTTTCATGAAACGGGAGTAAAGTAGTGAACTTACAGAAACATATACCACTACCAACGTTTGGATCGATGTCTGCATCGATCTGCACACCCTTGTGTCCTGGATCGTAGCTGTAATCAACGGGAACCACGTGGGTCTCTGCTCCCTCATCTGTTTCCTGTGTTTGGAGTTCCAGCTTCATCGCGGAGTTTCTCTCGGTTTGTGGGCTCATCTAAAGGTAAGCACCGAGCTAACTTTAATACGGGTTCAGTTTATGTTGAGTTTAGCTCTGTTCAGAATAATAGATTGCTTGGGATACACTGGAGTTAGACAGACTGTAGAGTTTGTGATTGCTTGCAACATTATGAAATGGCGGTTGCTAGGGGGTAAGAATACATTATAGAAAAATAGTCTTGGAGTATGAACAAAAGGATGGAGTGCAGGGCAGGAGAACAGCCAACCCCAGGACAGGAAGCCACAGTTACAAGCCTGGGGGAGGGAAATCAGCCGTTAGAATAGGATTTCATAGGATGATCTCCAGATGCATCTGTATTTTATTGTCTTCCAGCGCAAATAAAGACGTCTGATAAAATAAAGACACTGTTTAGTCTTAATGTTTATTACGTATTATACACAAATGCAATAAGCAGCAGGTGCTATAGGCATCTGGAAGCACCTGTATATACAATTCTAACATGTGATTACTAGGACTCCCAGGCTTCTACCGTTCTACCTTTAAAAGCTAAGCTTTAGCTTCAGCCAAGTGGAAGCTAAATTGGCTAGTCATTCATATGTAAATTAGGTTGTTACCTAGGAATTCTGGAGGGAGGGGAGTGGGGGTGTGTGAATGAGGGGGTGGGGGAGCTGCTAATAGCTGTGAACTTCCTTTTGTGTTTCATCTTGAAGCATTCTCAATCATCAAGAATGGACTATTCAACATGCACAACAAACGGAGCATGTTCATTGGTTCATGGACCTCCCTGAACTAATGGCATTTATTGCAATTGTCATCTTGCGGGGGGTTTACAGGGTTCCATCTGTAAATGACTGCTGGTCAGCAAACCTGGGAAACACACAGATAATTGGAACTATGGCACGAAGCCGCTTCCAAGATATCATGCAACACCTACGCTTTGATGACAAGTCCACCCGCTGTGATCGAGCAAAGACTGATAAGTTCAGTCTGATAAGAAC